GGGGGGGGTGTCAATTTTTGTGTAATCAATGGTAGCTTACAAGCTACAGTAAATGTTGGAGGCATTGGCTTTTACTTGATCGTCTTGTATTATATCATTGTTAATTAAAATATGAGATATTTCACTTTTTCTACTAGAGTTAGACATAAAGCGATTGGCAATCGTCCACCATTCTTTAAACACTTATGCTACTTTTATGTTTAAGTTTGTCGCAGAGTTGTTAAAATATTTACTTTTTGAATTACGTATGGCATTTACACAAGTATTTCGAATTTTCCTGAAATTTGCCTAGTTATCATCATTCTGTGATTTACCCAGTCATCGCCATTCTGAGATTATCCAGTCATCGCCATTCTGAGATTTACCCAGTTATCGCCATTCTGATATTTACCCAGTCATCGCCATTCTGAGATATACCCAGTCATCACCATTCTGAGATTTACCTAGTCATCGCCATTCTGAGATTTACCCAGTCATCACCATTCTGAGATTTACCTAGTCATCACCATTCTAAGATTTACCCAGTCATCACCATTTTGACATTTACCCAGTCATCGCCATTCTGAGATTTACCCAGTCATCGCCATTCTGAGATTTACCTAGTCATCGCCATTCTGAGATTTACCCAGTCATCGCCATTCTGAGATTTACCTAGTCATCGCCATTCTGAGATATACCCAGTCATCGCAATTCTGAGATTTACCCAGTCATCGCCATTCTGAGATTTACCTAGTCATCACCATTCTGAGATTTACCTAGTCATCACCATTCTGAGATTAACCCAGTCATCACCATTCTGAGATTTCCAAGCTTTGCGATGTAGATTTTTCCTCTTTTTTCTTATCAACTTTATAATGGTAGTATTCATCCATGCAGGATCGTTGGTTCTTACAGTTATATCTTTATTAGGTATACACTCCCTTGCGATTTTAAGTAAAACATCTGTAAATATGTCAGTTTTTCAATTCTGGTGATGCATGTCAAATATAATTTCATTGATAAACACTTGATTAAATATGCACTTTGCGTTAAAAAATCGCTAAAATATCATATTTTATGAACAGTCAAAATATGTTAAACTCATAAGGTTGAGAAAAGACTCTTTAGCAAGTTCAATAGATACACGTCATAATAATGTAATACATTTTAAACCATGCAAAAGAAATATGTTTATCAAATTGTTTTTATATACGGATTAATAATTTACATGACACATTGAATAGTTTTAATCAATTTATGTACATGTATATTGTTTTATAGATTTAAAGTATAAATAAAGATTAGTCACAATGTTTCCTAATACGTTTTAACAAAAGAAGTAAAAAGAACATTGAAAATTTGTTTGAGATAAAAAGAAATGAACAAACTTACAAAAACAAAGCTTAAAATAGTATATATTCTTAACAAGGTAAAAAAACATTCACTTACGTTTATGCGACTTGTGCTGTGGTTCGAAGACTCTTGCAATGTCTGTAAAAGTCATGAAGTGCTTGGGCATTTATAGGTTCCTCTACAATGCAGAACTATTCAAGGAATAGGTAGCTATAGGTGAACAACAATTCCGAGAACTGGATATATCATGTTTATGTTTACCTAGGTATGTCGGACGACATATGCAAATTTGCTATTTACACAAGTACTCTTCATGGACATAAAAAAGACTTCCTAAAACGTCGTGCTCCAGATTAGGTTGTTTTGCGATGTTCGTAAAAGTGCTTGAACATGTATAGGTTACCTAACAATGTTGAACTATTTAGGGAGTCCGTAAGAGAAATTTGATTCCGTGTATCGGATTTCTAAACTGTGTGTGAAGATTCCCGCTGTTTTCGATGCGTCTGACAATATATAATAGTTGTTTCTCGGTCACACGTCCTAGTTGTTAGCTTCATGTAAAATACACGTATTTGTTTATTTTTTGTACCATGTATCTGACATTTTAATTGTGGGGTTAGTTATTACCATTACATTCTTAACGGCCCATCAACAAAGAGCCAATAACTAGTCTCATTGTGGAGTTTAACCTTTTCAAGACAACTGACACAGATGGGAGTATAACTCATGTGGATTAACGCATTCTGGATCACGTCCAATATACTATATATTTCAATAAGCTTTATTTAGTTTACAACAATTATAAAACAAGTTTTTACAACTTATACGTATCACATTTGTTGGCACGAATGTTAGCGCGCGAAGGTCTTACTGTTGGAGGAAACCGGAGTACCCGGACAAAACCCACGTGTTTCGGAGTTATTTCGGAGAAACTTTGCTGCTTTTCTTGACAAAGCTGGCTTCCTCTTTTAATATCGTGTTACAGACATGTTTTGATGACACGAATAACATCACATGTTATATATCATAAATACAGCTTCCTGCTGTCGACCTTGAGCTTCGTTCTGCACCCTTTTGTTGACACTGTAGTAAACTTTTTTCTTTTCTTGTTTAACTCATTCACCCGTGAAAATTCATCATGAACTTTGAATTGGAAGAGTTCAAATATGTCTTCAGGGTTGAATAAGTTAAGATTCGAGCCTTTTTCTCTTCATGTCGTTCATATTTGTGTGTGGTTCTGGTGACACTTTAATATACGTATTCTATATAACTTTACTTGTTAAGACGTGCGTTATGTCTCTATCAATTTGCACTTATATTTGGTCATTCAGGTCATTTGAGTCTCTATATATTGACGGTACAATTTTTGAAGATATCAGTCTCACACTAATGTTTTATCCCTGTGTATCGACACTGTGGTCGTTTTCGACGCTCCCTGTTAAGATTTGGGGTTTTGCTTTGTGTGTTACAGATGTATTACAGATTCTAATTCACTTGACCAGTTCAGATTCATGTACCTGTATCAATTTCCAGTCTAATGATCTTATCTTAAATACACGGAAAACCGAACTTGATGATTGTTTTTAATGTATTTTTAAATGACATTTTCCAATTTGTTAAAACCAGTAACCTCTACAATGATGTAGATGATAATATTCTGTCGCATACATTTGCAAGAGTAAAAATGCAGTTTCCCTTAAAGAAGTTTGAGAAAATGAAAATCAAATTTTAAGGCTAATCCTGATAAGTTTCAGCCTAGATATATTGGGGAATAAACCGGTGAACTCCTTACATCTTTTAACATTGGTAATTAAGAACAAATTGTGAAAATTGTGTTAAACTCTTGCGTGTAGACCTAGATAACCATATTGCAAATTTATGTAGGAAAGCCTGCATACAGTTGTGTGTGTTAAAACGAATTGTAACTTATCTAACAAAAGAAGGTAAAATTACTATTTTTGAAACTGTTATCTTGTCCAATTCCAATTGTCCAATCACTATCCGCTGGCTTGGCACTTCTGTAACCCTTGTACCAAGACCAGGAAAATGGAGAGAATACAGGAAATAGCCATGCGCTTTATTGAAAATGGTTATACATCTACATTTTGAGATTTTATAAAACAAAACAATCTTGACCTTTACATATAGGCAGGCTAAAGACTATGGATAAAGAAGTGTGTATGATTTTAAATAAGATAGCACCAGATTTTATCAGTGAGTTTGTTGAGAAAAATAATGTCTTATATAATTTCAGGAAAAAAACACAATTACTGTACCAGAGGTAAAAACCACAAGGTATGGAGAAATGTAATTTCGTTTTGAAGCAGCCCGGGTACGGAACAGCCTATCTAATGAAATAAGGTGTGCTGAAAACTATAATACCTTCTGTAGACTGTTGCATACCTGGGATGTGTGGAGTAAATGTCTATCTTTTATGGTTTTTATTTCAATTTATGTTTAGCTTGTTCTCTTATTTGAATAAATGGTAGTGTTTTCTTTTAAAATATGCTATGTTTACATATATTCTGGGGTTTTTTTGGCATATATGTATATGAGGCATCGATGTCTCTTAAAAAAATGAGAAATAATAATAATAAAAAAAAATGTATTTGCGTATAGCATGAACTTTATGCCATATCACTCTCATACTACTTTCTTTTTATTGTTTTTAGTGCTAAATGTGTTTTGTGCATGCTGTGATATGTATGCATGTATGTATGCATTGCTGCTTGCTTGCTAACAAGTAGTACTCTGACTTGTATTGTTCAATCCCTTAAGCCGTTTTTATTTTGATTTAACATGCATGCTGTGATATTTCGTTTTTGTTTGTTATTTTCTATACATTTTACTCATATTTTGTCGTTAAAATAGCTCCACAGAGCTAATGTTGATTGTTTAACATGTACGTTTAAATAGATCTTGTATCTTGTTTAATCTGCATTTAGGTCCTCCTAGCACTGCCAAAGTAATTCCTTTGAGTTGGAAACTATTAATTTATTAAAAATGTCTTTTACTTGGATATGGACAAACTAGTCATTTCCAATGTTTTAATGGAAATACACAACACTATATCTCGGTTTTAAAATATGTTTCGAGATAGGCATATCCCTTAACGAATATTTCCACAACTATCCACATACTATAACGTCACAAACATGTTCATCACACTCTAATTCCGGCGTACACATATCGATGTATACGGTAAGTATGCAGCGATCTCGTTGTCAATTATTGTCGACATTTACGGACCTTGTCGATGATTAAAAAGTCTCTTTTCCCCTGATATGTTTGTCATATATTTACATTTTGTGACAGCACTGGTGTCAAGCTATTCACATCGACATGAGGGTAAGGGTCTGTTACGGCACGGTTTCTCACCCGGGTGAGACATAGTGGAAAACATATTGGCATAGGTGACACGTTTTCTTAGCCGTCACGATTTCTCACCACAACTCTCGATCTCAATTGGGGATGGATTTCTTCCGTGGTGTCTTAAAACTTGACTAAGTGAACATGTAATAGATGAGCAGGCATGATGTAAAATGACCAATAGTTCAACTGACAATATACTTTATAGCTATGGATTGATTTATCTATCAATCTATTTATTAATTTAGTTTTGAAATACGAAACAAAGGACAAGAACTTTTACACAGCATGAATTTGTCAATCGTAGCCGTAGACTTACAGCATGGTATGACGTCGACAACGGTGAGTTACATTGTAAAGCAGATGTAAAATCATTGCTCTGGAAGGATAAATACATTATTTCTATTACTATAAAGTATAACAATAACTAGTTGTAACAGGGACCGTTACATAAGGTGCCTAGACAACCCTGTAACCACAAGCGATGTATCAGAAAAGGTTCGCAATACCATACTATCTACTACTAGGGTTGTCAAACCGGTCATATTTTTGTAACCGGTTACTCTAACAATCTACCGGTTAATCGGTCAATTTGGTAATCAAATAATAAACAGGAACATACACGTTTCATGTTAAGAAAATGTTCTACTTAAAACGTATTTACACCACAAACATACAAGAATATATCAATTAGCATGATGGTTTACTCGCGTGTTTCAAGCTAAACGCAGGAAATAGTTTCATGTAACCAGCACGTCGGAATACAGTAAGACGGGATTCAATTACAGTTATCTTCTTGAAATCATATGCGGTAACATTCTTCTTTTACAAACGTTTTAAGACATGCTTGGTCATTCAAGTGTGTACTCTTCAGATTATATTACGTCTCGCATGTAAATGCGAGTTCTATCTCTAAAAGCTGACATTTCACAATATTGTATTCTGGCTTCCTTTTAAAATCTGTTCAGATTTTTTCTCTATGTCAGTATTTACAATAGAGTACAAAATCAATACTAACATGTGATCCCTTATCACGGTTTTTATTATAAAACTATCCGATTTCGGTCGCATATATACAAATGTAGATTATTTGTAGGTCTAATCCGTGGAAATATGTGGCTGCCAAAAAGAGTTAAGTAAATGTCCGACTATTCGTTTATTTATTTTGGTAGCCATTTCATGGTCTTCTGACCGAGTAACTGGTTAACCGGCTAACTATTGATAACTTGGTTTCATAGTGCGGTAAGAAGTTGCAGTTGCCTGACGGCCCCTCTCTGAGGGCCCCTTTGTAAACCGTTTCATCTCGCTCGCACCACTTGTGTTTGCTGCCTAATCAGGTGACGTTATCGGCGCTATTTTTAGCCGGGCTTTCCCGAACAATTCAAGTGGTCAAACTGGACATTTGGAACGGACTATGAATATGGGGATAGCGAGGCAACATAAGTGGAAGTGTATACAATACATACATTCATTAAAAAAAAAACGCCTTTTCACGTGATGTCCCTTTAACAAAGTACAATTACTCGCTTTGAGCGTGGAAATACTAAATTTAAGAGAGGCAACGTAGACGTCAGCAGCTATTAAATCAAGAATTTGCTACAGTACAAGCCGGTCATACGCACCAAAGCGAGTCGACGGGTGAACAAGAGAGAGGACAATATTTTCTCGTGAACTCAAGCCCGTATTATTCTCGCTGAAAGATTGGTACATCGTGGACTTGGTTAACTTTTGTGCGACGATTGGGANGGGGGGGGGACGTCTAGAACTGGACGTCGTCGATGCAATCACACTTATCACATGTCATTGAT